GATTAGCATGCCAACTAGGGGGAAGAGTAACACTTTCAGTTGCTTCATGCTATAGAGAGTGGAGCCTCCAGTAGTAATGGTCACTGACTGGTAACACTTGACGTATGTGAATTAAAAAGTACTTCGATCTTTATTGGCATGTCTGGGACGTGCCAGGATTTGGCAACCTAATCTTATTGAGCTGTATATTACGATGTTTTTTCCCCTCAGTTGTGTTTTTATGAGTGGTGTATATTGGAACTCAGTATCTCTGCCAGAGATGATTTTCTTCCTGAAAGTGACAGGTAATCTGAATTAAGAGTGAAACTTGATGTAATCCTTGTATGACAGCTACCAAGAGAGTATAAATACAGATATATTCTTTTGATGCTACTTACTTGTATAAATACGTAGTTAGGTTTTACAAAACTAGTTGTTGCTATTCTTGTTGCATTCACCAATAATCCGTTACTATTATCATACTCTTTTCCTTTTTACTAATCTTGCGCAAGAAGTGAAAAAGAAAGCGAATAAATATGCGATCCTTCAAATGCCCCTGTGATTTTAAAATTGTCCTTGTTCACGCACAAATACAAAGATGATCTTCTCTTGATATGATTTTTTACTTCTGAAAACGATGTTTCAGTTCAACTTTCCTTCATTAGCACATTATGTCTTGTCTGTTTTGATTCAGTGGGCTGTATCGAGAGAGGAATGACCTCAAGGACGTACGAGTGAATTCTTTTTAAGGTTTTTTTTTCTTGAACTCAGTTGAAACTAGGGCACCAAACTCGCTTATCGATCGTGCTATCTTTTAGTGATATACCTTAAATACTAAGTTTAACTTAAGATGATTGTCCTTCTGTTTGGCTCTCTTTCTCATATTTGATAGGCGCATTTACCATCAGTACAGAGTACTGGACCACTTTCTACCCCAGGGATCCTCACAGGGTGGCTGTGACGGCTCTGCAAGGAAAGTGTGTTCCGTTATTTTTCATGCTCTTCTCGACTTTGAACACAGGTGATTCACAGATTTTATTTTAATTTAGATGTCTGGGAAAAACCAGTATAGAAGTCTTATCTGTCCTTCAGTAGTGAATTAAAGAGTTAACACAGAAAGCAAAAGGGTCGTATATGACCTTATTTCCAACTGAATTCACTCGAAAAGTGCAGCGCAGCCCCATCTCGTTGATTCAGTTGACCCCTGAGACATGCAATCGTGACGTGTGCACTTTATTACTTATTTTATCTTTCTTACAATTTTTACGCCGGATGGTGCTGGAATGATAATGTTGGCATCTCTTTAACTTATTAGGTTTACACAACAACCAAATGATGTGGAGGTTAGTCGAAAAGACATGATTCATTTGTTACAGGTAGTGTAACATTACTTTTATCTTCTAAATCATACTCTGGCAAGCTTTAATATTCTAGGCGGAACCCAATATCTGTTTTAATCTATATGCGTCCTGTGCTGTAGCCTAATTCTCCACACGCTTAACTCTGCAAAGAATGGGTTGGATTTGATTTCTGACCAGCGAAATTATTTTAGCTGTGTATCCTTGGGTAGGGATCATAGGTAGTCCAAGTTCGTTTGATGATTGCATCATCAGTCAAACAAATACTGTTGATACGCAGCGGTGGAAATGAAATGATTTAGATGGAGAAAACGGTTGAATTTAGAAGCAAAAATACGATCGGAATCTTTGCTTACTGTAAAAAGATCGCTGACTCTCCTTCATTCGATTGTTTCTTATTCTCCGGTGTCATTTTCAAGTTAATTTAAAGTGATTTAGTCGGTTGTAAGTTCTTCTTTAACTCCCAAGATCTGATTGTTAATTCTGCCCACTAACTACCACACACTTTCTTGTAACTTAGTTATATGAATTTGGTCTTAGAAACAAGATAGCAACTTCTAATTGTTAATTTTGAGTTTTCTCATTACCTGTTTGCTGAGTAATGTATGGATATTTTAGGGAGAAGTGACATGTTAATCACTTCTGGGAGGTAAAGGCTCCATATGAATGCTATCTGGAAGATTTCTCTCCTCGCACTGGAGAATTTTCCTTACGTGAAATATTAATTTTACCCGCCATATCGGACAACGTTCATTCAATGTAAAAAGCAAAGAGAGGATGTAGAATTATAAGGATTTACACGTTACGTGTGATTAAGACAAATTTATCATGTTCGTTCCCTGTAGGAACTCGTCCCAATGCTTTCCCAGCACTCAAATGACAACACTTCAGCTCCGTCGGGGAAGAATTGGCGCGGATCTTGGCTGCTTGAACAGTTCAACTCCAGACTGGAAAAGGTAAATGTGTATAAGGTTTCACATCACAACCAAGACCTTGAAAGCTGCTCTTAAAACCCTCCATACGGTGCATGAAAATATTTTTTAGCTCTTTTTCACAGCGTTTTGAAATCGAAGGAGATAAAATTAGTTTTGCTTTTATCAACTGAGTTGATAATGTGAATGGTACACCGTAAAGAGAATTGTTCTTTCGAAACTTACACCCTTAATTTAAATGTTAGTTTACTTGAAACTTTCGTTGTGGCTTCTGCTTTCACCAAATATTCGTTCTTTTCAGTCCTTGTTAATCTAAGTTTATCTTTTTGTATTTCGTTTGTTTTTCTTTTTAATTTTTCTTGGCAAACTGTTTCTGTAATAAATTTTGAACATCTTTTTTCATTCGACGACGACCTCTCTGAAAAGTTGCGTCTCTCTTAACCTATTTAGATGTTGTATCAACGGCATATGGTTGAAATCTTTGCAGGTTCTTGGTTTAGTGTGATTTTCCAAGATTACGAAAAGACCTTTGGGTTAACAAAGAGGGGTAATATGTGTTATTTCTCTGACAGATTCAATCAGGTGCTAAGAACCAGAATGGAGGAGCGCAAAATAATGAGCTTCTGAATAGTTCTGTTGTGGTGTCATGTATGAAGTAAGAACCGCACAACTTTATTGTACTAAGATATTCACTGGGTCTGAGAAATTTTTGAAAGGAATGCCAAATTTAAAATAATCTGCGATTGCTTTCGTTTTGCTTCACCGCGCTTGGTCCAGAAAACGCGCGCTTCCTTTTAAACCAGTCAGGTCACAAAAATAACTGAAAACCAATAACGTTTAGGTCTCAATTTCAGTTTCCTTGAGTGTCTTACCTTGTTTTGTTCGACCATTGTTATAACATATCTCCAAGTTTTGAGACACCCAATCCAAATGCAGTCTATGGCATAACATTAAATGATCTCTACTTCGTTTGTTTGATTTTCAGTCTTGCCATGCATCTTCCTCCGTTTCTTCTGTTCGCTGATCAGATGGATTCCAGTCTTGACACTCAATCAATTACGCACGTGATAAACTTTATCAACGCGTATCTAGTAAGTGTTAGCTTGCAGTGATGGCATACTACTGATAAATGAGCGGTCGTCTTTCCCTGGTTAAACGCCTGCTCTGTTAGAAAATAGATTCAAGTGAAACTTGCTTTATATTTGCTGTGGACTAACGGATTTTCTCACTTTTTTCTTCCCCCACTTTCTTAGAGACCTTACATAAGTGACAATTGCTGTCTTCCCTTTGATGTTACGCTCTTCATTTTCAAGGTACCTGTGTCAGCCTGTTTTCCTTTATGAATCGATTTGTAGATGATGTATTTAAGAGCTCGTAAAAGTGTTCTCCCTCTCCCCCAGAAAAAAAAGCAAAGCAACAACAGCAGCAAAAAAAAAAAAATTAAATTTCCTTGTAATCATAAAAACGCGAAGCAGTGTCACGGTCGTGTGATATATTAATTTGCCTTTTTTTGTCCAAGGCTTGGCTTACTTTCACTAGGAGACCATTCCATGAATCACGGTATGATAAACACTGTTGATTTTGTTTTATTTTATTCCGAAGTACAACAAACTGTAGACATCACTTATTAAGTACAATCTTAAAGACTCGTTGACTTTGTGATCAAGAGAGCGGGGAGTGAGGGTGGACTTCTAATTGAAAGTTCCGTCGATGCCGCAGGAAAGTTATGTTGTGTTCTATGGAGACACACTTTACTCTCTCTGCGCCCCTCTCCACTCACGAGTAAAATAGGTACCTGTCAACTTTAAGAGGAACCTGGAAAGAAAACTGAGCAGTAACCGGTTATGGACTAGACTCTTATGTAGGAGAGGTGAAAAAACTCTTAGTTTGATAATGCCATCGAAATCGGGATGAGGCCCAACAGAGTGAATTATCAGTATGTGTACAGCACTTTCTTTGCCTTAACTTTTTTCTACAGAAACCCTCAGCTTTTGTCGAAGTTTATGACGGATTGTCCCTTGTTTTTTGCTTCTACTCTGGTGAGTTTCTACAGAACACTGTTTGTAAAATTCCAAGTTCGACTTTGTCGAGAGAAGAAAATTAAGAACAGAACAGCCAGAAAAACTCAATATTTTCCTGCATTGCGTTCGACCGATTACGGAAAGCTTAATCTCCGTTGTCCCAACCTCACGTCAACTGAATTTAACATCCATGATATATCCATTTTTTCCCTCATTATCTTTTAAAGTTGCAGGTTTGCTTTGATTTCTAATTATAGTAGATTCGCCTTAGTGAGAAAATAGAATAAACTCGCTCAATCGATAAAATTGGCCTGACTTGTTCATTAGTGCGAAAAATTGCATCGTCTCGTGATAAAGTCGTTGCGATCGTATTCTCTGCTTTTAAATCGGCTCGGCTAAATCTGTATTTTGTTTTCCTGTAAGTATTACTGGAAACAGCTCAGACCTTTGGCCATAACCCAAGTTGATGTTACTACACATGGGTCACTAAACCAGGCTGAGTTACTCTTAAACTGGAAAAACAGGTTTGTTCATAGTATCTAGGGTTTATTTGAGTGCACCCTTACTAACAATGTAAAAGTATTACGATGTTTAAATTCAGTGCCCTTAGGGAATGTGTTAGATACTGAACTCAAGCATAAGCAAAATTACTTTGCCAGGCGAATAAAACATAATTCTCAGACTGATGAAAAAAGAGAGATGTTAACCATTTATAACGCGTGTGGGGCTGAGAAAAAAACGGTTTGACGCCACACTGCCCTCCTTCCCTCAGGGAATTTGAACTTCAGACTATTTGATTCCTCGGGTGATGCTGTATCAATCACCTTCAAAGAACTTGTTGGCCATATTCTATGCTCATATGTGACACGCGATCTGTATGCTGTTACATCAATCGATGTATAAGCACTGAAATGTTTTCAATCAAGACCAGTCCATCAAAACAGAGATTCTCGTGTTACAAAGTTGGTTTTTGTGCTTATGTTCAGTTTTCATTATTCTTGCGCAGAGTTGAAACCTCCCAACCTGTTTCCTTGGAAGATCTGGATCATGTGGACGTGAATTTGGTGGCATCGTTTATCGCTGTTAATCTTTATACTCTGAACAGGTAGCTCAATCTTGTCTAACGTTTGAACCAATATGCTCGGCAGCTTGTAAACGGCTTTTTCAGACTGTTTCTGTATCTTTTGTTTTAGTCAAGTGATGAAGATATTCCTTCAAGAAAGTAAACGTCCTACAGAGTTTATGCGGAAGGTGAGCGCTTTAAATGGTTAATTTCACAATTTCAAGAACATTCTAACGATATGCTTTAAATTCATCCAAACAATGTTCTTTCTGACATTTCTTAAAGTGACACACATTTACCGAATAACGTTTATTTTAATTTTCACGAAATTTTGTAGGTCGCTGTGTGTTTATTTGACTGCATCATGACAGAATTTTCACGGTTGATTCTTCATGGCGACGAGGTTCGTAGTTAACTGATAGATTCTTTTTTTCTTTTTGTCATAACACCCCGTTTTTTTTCTAGAATTTTAAATCGGAAATTTATGCATCATATTTAGATCTTAGACATTAAGGTCTGTGTTCGGAGACTATCCCCGATGACATTGATACAGTTTCCTACAAAGGTTATTTAAAGGATCAACGTCTTAAAACTTTCGATATAGTTGGAAGACGCCTGAGATTAAAAGAAAGTGTTCCAGAGCAAATATTGATGCGATGGTTAATGAATCGCATTTCTTAGAGCCAATCAGATAATTAAGATCATCATTGATTTCAAAATGGACGTAATAAAGTACGACAGCGACTCAGAAGAAATAAACACGCTTACTGGGAATATCTGGTATAGAAAACATGCATAGCGTGGTGGGGCAGTCAGTTGAAGTTATTTTCTTACATGTATTGTAAATGTAAATTTAATGATATGCATGTTATTTTTATGGCCTAATTTTAACAGATTTGTAAGAACGAAGCTCTGAGGGACTCTGCTTGGGTAAGTTTCCATCATGTAGAAGTGTTAAAAAAACCAAATTACGCTCAGTTATAGTAAATAGCAATTTGTCAGCTGGATCATGGCTTATGTGCCCCTTGTACAACTAAGGCTAGAATCAAGGACTACCGGAAAAAATCCTGAAAGCTTGGGGCTCAATTTTTTGTGGGAAACTCAGAATTCTCTCTTTCGTCTTTCCTTAATGTCTAAATTCTATGCACAATTTCTTCTAGTTTTTAAAACAGCGAATTTTATTTTATTGTAGAAACTATTCACTTCTTTCCCAAAGACGCTATTCGTGTTCAGAATCGGTAAGTCCGAATTACCAATTTAGAGACCAAATTAAGGTTAATAAGCTTAAATACTTAATGATTTAATACCGTACCGACCCCTCTAAGAATTCACAATTTCTGCTGGATTTTTACCTGTGACTTCATCATTCGGTGCGATTTTATAACCCTTTCACTCCCAAGATTTAGAGATCAATTCTCCTCACTATTTGCTATAGTTTTCTTACAAGTTTTGATCTGAGAATTTGGCGATAAATCAAACAACATTCTTTCGTTAACATTTTTCTTACCTCCTATTACCTTCTTGCTAAATATGTGTTGATTATGTTAGGAGGTTTTGTTCACTTTTAAGGATGAAAGGGTTAGAAACTAACCTATGAAGCTAATAGCAACGGAAGAAGGGCATTGCAGACTCATATGTTGCTGCGTGAAAGAGATAAAGTGAAATTATGACTGCGAAAGAGTTCATATACACTGTAGAAATTGAATGGAATGATAAAAAATTGATCCCAGCAGTGCGTATAAAGATTTCTCTTCGCAGTTGCTTAAATTGCGAATCATCACTCCGAGAAAGGTTTATGATTAACTCCAGTTGTGAACAACTAGGGATTGCTATCCAAAATACGTTTTCCCACATAACGGTATCCTTTTTGTTTCTCTTATCGTAGAGGAAAGTGGCGAATTCAGAGAAGTACTCCTTTCTCTAAGGTATGCAACCCATTGTCTTGAAGAGATCGTGAACCTTTTATATGAATTGGCTTACCATTTATGTCTCTTAATGTTTGTACAGATCGCTGGTTCTCAACGAGCAGCTGATCAGGCTTTACCCAGCTGTATTTTTCAGGTCTGTGCTATGTTATTTAAACATAATATCGTGTGCTCTGTTTATGATCTTGAAAACGCAATAACAGACTTTATATGAATTGGAATTATAGAAAGAGTGAGAAGAGTCCAAATCGGTGTGGAATTATATAATATCGAAATGGAAAATTGTCAATCGCGACAGTGCATGATTGCCGACATGATTGGGCAAAATGAGTGAAATTGTTAAGTCCGTAGACTGGGGTTGCTTGTGGCGTGACAAAGTCCTTCTCCTCTTTTTTCAATACATTGGTAATCTTTTTAATTGCATAGTTTTTGGAGACCTCTTTTGCTTCATCTTCTCGCTTTATTTTACAGCTTTTTTGCAAACTTTCCCAATGAGGCATTACAGGAGGTATTGTGCACGTATTATACTATTGTATACTTCTATCGTTTCAATGTTATCTAATGAATGTGCGCCGCAGCATTCCCAAACTCCTTTTTACACGTCTAACAGTGGAAATTCCTCAAGCCTGCCATTTTCGTTTTTTCACTGAAGAGAAGCCCAGACGAAATTGGCTTTTTTCCCCCGCTAATCAGTGAAGCTCTGTTGCTCACTTTACTTTCATTACTGATTCTTTTACCTGGTTGCCGTAAATTACTTAATGTAAGTTATGCATGCTATTCCTGTGAATTCAGTTCCTCTATCGAACAACATCACCCAGCGGACAATCTTTTTATTTACGATTTGATTGCTTGACAATGCATTGGAATTTTGAGATAAATCTGTATACTTTGTACTTATCATTCCTTGGAGTGAAATGGAATGGGTTAACCAGAGTTGTAGGAATTGTTATCAACGTCCCTATCAAGGGAAACTAGTCATCCTTGGATCATTCTGATCCACTTACCTGCATGGTAAAAACAAAAACAAAAATATGAAAATGATATTATTCAAGGATGCATAGTATTTCTAAACAACTTTATTATCATATGTGTGTAGGCAACAAAGATCAGCGGTTTTTTGACAGTCAGCCTGTGTATGTACAACTCGTTTGTCTTTCTTCGGAAAGAGTGTCTGAACGGCGTGGTAAATATGGCTGCTGACTTTTCGGTGAGTGAGGCCACTTTTCTTGACTCAGCCACTGATATGAAGGAAATTACGACTTAGAGGTCATCTGAATATTCCATCTAGTATTGGTTCCTGTTTTTAGTTCGAAATGCACTTAAAGTTAACTTGCTTTCGGTGCCACAGATTTTTTAAGAAAAATGTGTAGCCACCTGTAAGACTCAGGGAGACCGCCGAAGTATTTGATGATGTTTCTATATTTCTTTCGTCATTCGTTCATTTAACAACGAAATTGGAATAAATAATGCAAAAAAGGAAAAACCTATTGATGAGAATCGTGCCTTTTCTCGGGTAAATACGGTACTCTAGGCTTGCTGTTATGAATTTCATTTGCGAAAAGACGTTTTAGTTAACGTTGATATCTTTCATTTGTCTGTTTGTCCAGCCTCTTCACTTGGATTTCTGCCGCCAAGTTACTAACTTTGTCCGTGACTGTGTACTATCTTCACCAGTGGATCAGTTGAGAAGCTTATCAAAGGTTAAGTTGTTTATAAATAAGATGAGTTAAGAATTTGTATTAAAAGAAGTAATGAATATATGATTGATTGCCGTGTCTCTCTTCGGATCCAAAACACATATGATATCATAATTTGATAGACTTAGGGGGGGAGGGTGGGCATTTGTCTTCGGGTTTGGTTTGAGCGCGTTCCTCCAGGTGAGAATTTTTTAGGTTTATCACCAACTTTTTCTTGGATGTTCCAATACCAAGGTATCTGGAATATCTTTTTATGGGGGTAGGAGTGGGGGTGGGGTGAAGGGGGAATGTTCGTGAGGAGGTTAGTTATAATGGCAAGCATTTAAAGAGTATCCTTCCCATTATTACTGTTGTTTCTGATATTCTTGGAGTTTTGTATGTTCTGGGCTTCTTGATGTAAATCTAGTCTTATTTCTCTCTTCGTTTTTTTTTCTTTTGTAGGACGTCATTTCTTCGTGTACCGCAGAGTTACGACAATTTTTGAAAAGTCAGCTGGTGAAACGACAGGGAAGATAGCAAGAATATATACTAGAATGAAGAAATTTCTGTAAATTATGAACTGGATAGCGCATGGTATGCGGCTATGTCATTAAAAATGTGAATAAAAAAGAAAAACTTTTAAAAAGTTTAAAATGTTCGATGGATTAATGACTCGTTAAAAGTTGCAAGGGACAACAAATAAAGGAAGCAAAAGAGGCGCGGAATTGTACACTTACATTCGAATTATTAGGTTCTAGAAATTACTTTTATGCCCTAGGCTCTTTTTAACCATTGCAATATGAAATTATAGTATATTAGTCGCCCATAGATCAAACACCCTCAGACGAGCGCTATTCCTCAACACTACAAAGCGGACATGCAATAGGGCTGACTGTTCCATCTCCGATAGTGCCCTTAATAAAACCCCGTCTACCAACTGAAAATGGAATCAACATTTTATCGGAAGCTCTATACGTTTTTTTTTCTCTGCACGATCGCGTTGGAGTACATCTCAATAAAGATAATTCTTTCTGAAAGGAAAACACCTCTACAAACCGAAACAAAAGCAAACGGCATTAATTCAGTACTGTTCTGTAGCTATAGGACAGTATTTAATTCTAAGCCCACTCGCAGCATTTTAAACGAGAAAGTACAAACTTTATACAGTACCTTTAACTCCTAAGAGAAACGCAGCGAGCTCGCAGCCTTTTTGCTTTCAGTAGTAGTAGATCTGGGAAGGCAATTTATTCTGTGACACTCGCTCGTAAGATAATGCCATTCTTTTTATTCTTACACGTATTTGTTTTTCATTCATCTGTTCCTTCTCCAACGACAACAAAACATCCTAGCATCTTGAATTAAACTTTAATCAAGGATTACCGGTTTGGATGTAAGGTTTGAAAATTATTGAACATTACTTCAGGTATATCATCGGACATTCTCAATTTGAACTGGAACATGTCTGATCACTGGACGCAGTTAAACTAATCACGTGCAAGGAACAATATTTGATGGATGATTACCTGGATTGAGCGACCAATCAGAGTGCTAAAATTAAAAAAAAACCCAACCCACAAGGATATGCATGTTTACAATTCAAAAACCCTGTGTGTAGTGCGAAGACCCTCGAAAAAGACTTTCGTTTGTTAAATTGAATACTGGCAATGACTCAAACTGATTTCGTTCGAGTTGATTTGACTCTATGCACGAGCCCGCGGGTTTCAGACCTGTGAAAAAATGTGTACTCCAATAAGCCATGCGCGTGTTTTGTTTGGCAGCAGTCCCAAATGAGTCGTTACTGTGGTGATGGTTGATTCCAAGGGACATAGTAGTGAACTTTTTGACTTTTCGAAGTCTTTGATAAACTTTTAATTGAACTTAGCAATTTGTGACTCCTTAGAAGATGCCTGTGAAAAAGAAAAGTGGAAAATCTAAGTATGCTAGGAAAGATTTCGTTCGATTTTAAATTAACACAGTCCAAGTTCAAAAGTAAGTCAACTTAAATGCTTACAGTCTTATTATTTATTGGAATTTGTTTCGCTTGTAGATCTGGGGGAAAAAAGAAAGGAGCGAAGAAGGTCAAGAAGTCCAAGGAAGAGCTAGCTAAGGTATTAAATCCGTTAAAAAGAGACAACAAAACACAATTTAAATCTGTTCTTGTCTTTAAATTTAGCAATATATAGAGAACTTTTAGCCCATCGATCATTGTCTTCGATGGAATACTAAAACCTCTTAGTTAAATTGAGATTGTCTAGTTTCAAAGTCAAGTTTTTGCGAAAAAACATTCCTGGATAGAAACGATTCATAACATCGAAGTCGAGCAGTCATGAAAGAAGAGAGGCATAATTTGATTTCTTGTTCAAATTGACTCAAATTCAGCAAATTAATCATCACAACCCTAACATGTTTTATTATATAGACCAGGCTTGCTCTGTTGATATAATAAATATAATAAAAGATTTACATGTGATATGTTTCTTATTTAGATTTTGTTTATGTTTTTGTCTGTACATGTTTAACATGTTTTTACATATATGCATGTTAACATGTTTTTTTGCCTTCCTAGCACCAAAACGATCTCTAATTTACTATTTAAGGGAACCTGACCTTAGCACCAAAGACATGACACCATTAAAATTACTTTTAGTGAGTGAATAGAAGGGATAGCTCTGTTTAGAACTGTTGTTGATGATATTATGGTTGATCTTTGGAAAACCTGACTAGTTGACTTGAAGAGTAGTATTGAATCCATTGTGTATTCATCTACTTATCAAAGTCAATCTGACTAATCTTTTAGAGCTTAATGCACTCATGTTGTGCAGGGAGTAATATTATTACCAGAGGAGTCGGTTGGTTTTGGAAAACCAGGTTTTACTTCTGACTCTCAAGCTACTGTACCATTAAACTCACCCTTTACTATGACATAAGGTTTAGACTAGTCTTTGTCACACACAACAGGCCTTCACAGATCTACCCTGTCAAAGACATTATGCTATAGGATGAACCCTTTTACAGTTATTGAAACTTTAACAATTTGATTTTCTCTATCAGGAAAAGCTAGAGAAAGCTGCGGCAGCCTTTGAGGCAGCAGATGATCTTCATTCTGCATTTGTAGCTCGTATGGACAAATGGATGACTGATAACTATGCACGAGCTATTGATCTCTTTCGGCGATTTGATGTGGATGGTGATGGTAGCTTGTCATATGAGGAATTCTATGCTGGAATGCGAGATTTAAATGCACCAGCAAATAACTTAGAGCTTTACATTCTTGCAAAGAAGTTAGACAGGGATGCCAATGGCTTGCTAGACTACCTTGAGTTTTCCAAAGGTTTAAAATATTACAAGAAAGAGGAATGTGTTCAAGATGATGGTTTGCCTGTTCTGAAATTTGAAAGAGAGGAATTGGAACAATGCCCCTGTTGTAAACTTGGATTATGGAAACCCTCAAAGGAAAAGTTTCCTAGGTAGAGCTGACAATTTGTATTCAATAATCTCTGTTGTAGTCAAGGATAATGTGACCTGATAGATGGCTCTCTGCACTCCAAACTGAAAGGTCTTATGGTTCAACACCTGACTATGGTCACTGTTGAGCTCTTGAGCAAGACACTTCACTATTAACAATTCTTTTCTTTCCCAAAAGTAGAGATGGTACCAGTTGGGAGAACATGACAAAGTGCAAGGGGAAGGGGGGTGGGGAAGAGAGTCTTTTTCGTGCTATGGAAACTGGAATAAGATTAAGCAACCAAAATTCCTGTCTTAACCTTTTACTTGACTATTGCCTGTCAATTATTCCAGTTGCAAGTTGTTAGAATATGAATGAAAGGGAGGTTATCACTGAAAATTTAAAGAAATTACCGATAGGCAAATCTGTAAATTTGCTACATTTTGTTTCTATGTTCATAATCACTGAGCTATATACACAATCACTCTGAAAATTATTTCCCCAAAATGACACACAGTTACTAATGAGGAATAGCAATTTATAGTTTATAGCCACTGGAATGTGATTATTTTCAACAATTATTGACATCCTTGACATAGACACACTTGAAGTTTGGATTACATTTCAACATATTTATACATCTTATTTCTAGTTTTTACCTTCATTTTAAGCATGACAGGTTGAAAGAAATTTTCTTACTGGTAGTAGCAGTCATGTTGAATTTTCAAGAATTCCAAGCAATTTAAAATGATAATGAGAGGTACTACAGATGGTAAATGTTACTGTCTGAAAAGGGGAACACTGTATTCAGAATATTGGTTTGTGAATTAACTGGGGATTTTTTTGCGACAGGTTTATAAGCATGGAACTTCAACTCCTGACATTTGCCAACTTGCCACAGATGAAATCATATCCTGGACATTTCCAGATATTTGTCCATGCTCACATACCAGTTTATTCTGTGGAATCAATAATCAATGAACGATTTGGAGGAACAACTAGGAAGGTTGTAATATACTGCACCTCAAAAGAAGGCAAACGAATACATTTAGATCATCATAAGACTCTTGAAGAGTGTGGCTTCACTGGTGGGCCAAGACCAGAACCACAGCTTGTGGAATTATTTTACGATTTTGATGTAGAGTTTAATGACTGCCCAATTCTTATGAGTGATCATTATTTTACATAATAATTTGCAAGAAATTGGTAAGCTTCTGATTACAGTGGATCTAGCTCAAAATGTTCTATAGTCTGTGTAGAATTTTTTTTTTTTTTACTTCCATGCAAAACTTGAATCTTAGTAAATGTTGATTTAAGCTTGTGTGATGATTGCAATATTAAGCCATGAAATAATTTTGTAAAGATAGTTTTATTTGTTAAGTTATCTGTGTGTATATCTATATTCAGAGTCTAGAGAGATAATATATTAAACACCATTAAATATTTTACTCCCTTTTCATCTACATCACCATAAGCAAGCTGTTTAAGGCTTTTTAAGTTTTGAAGCCTTTGAACTGATTTACTGTTGAACAGTGTACATAGGTTTTTAACTTTCGCGTCACTTAATCTTATTTTGTATAGATTAAGATGCCATAGGTTGAACAAAATAGAATACCATTGTTACAGAGATTAAAAGTGATTGTAGAGTCATTTACAGACAAAATTTGAAATAAACGATGTTTGATTGCATTATCATTTTGTGCCATTCTATCCATGCCTTGTCTTCGTGGTAAGCATTCTTTTGGAATGTCACGCCACACTGACATCTCAAAGAATGGCTACAGGCAGGCAATTGATGTCAACTCAGTGAGAAACTTGAAATATTCTTAGGATGGGGTCGATGGTGGAGTGAGAGGGTCTCAGTTAATAACTTTTACATAAATATTTTGACATATTGTACAATAACATTCCAGAGAATAGTACCAACTTTCAATGTGAGTGATATGTCTTTTATTTGTCGAATCTTTGCATCAGCTTTTCAGCATAAGACTTTCCCTGCGTTCCAAGACCATTCCTTTTTGTTCTCTTCTTAAAATTTTTAGCTCATTACCGATGTTGTCTTGCTAAGAGAGTCTTGAACCCATTTCAAGTTCCAGGTTATTTCACGAACAGCATTACTATATTTTGTACGCAATGCATGCCTGTTTAGTAGGTGACGGAGGGACTGCTGGGAACGAAGTAGATTTTATTCGTTCGTCAATATCCAACATGGCGTACGTCCCATCTCATCTGGTGAAGGGCATCACACATCAACAGCGTGTGATGCGCTTGTACAGAAACAGTTTAAGGCATTTGCTAGATTGGGTCATAGACAGACAGACATGGAGGCAAGAGGCAGTTAAATTGAGAGAGAGATTCGATGCTCACAAACACGAGAAAGATAGGAGGGTGATTCACAAGATTCTGGAGGCGGCCGAACGTGAATTTGAGAAACATAAACATCCATTCCCTTATGTTCGTAAGTACAGTGACTTTTACCTTTCTGTCCTTAAGTGGATTATATCTGTGGAAAGTTTTTCATCAAACTATATAGAAAATTTAAGTTTTGAACTCTGAAGCTTGTGCAAAGTTGATCAAAGTTTGTTGATAATATTGAGATGATGACTTATCCCTTATAGACCCGGACAGCCCTGATGGCAGCAAGTGGGAAAGAAACATACCGCCTCCTCCTCATGTAAGTGTTCTGTAAGATTTGTTCTTTGGAATGTAGAGGATAACTGTTTCATAAAATCTTTTGATGTTCTTGTAATGCACGGAGAGACACTTGATGACCTTCACTGACCAAGCTTAAGTTTTGCATGTTTAAAGGACCTTACAAGTATTACGTACCATTTGATGAACTCTTCGTTCTTAGACAACAGAGGTGTTAACCTCTTGGTTAAATGCCAAAACACTGTACTGGTTTTTTTTCTTTTAAACTAGCCAGATGACTGCAAATTATTTATGACAGATTCTTCCCACTCTCATTACACGAGATTTGAGTTACCTGCCCTAAACCAAAATTAACTTTGCTCTCCAGAAACCATCTAACCTTTGCACTCTTCAGTCTGTTTTCTGCTAAATAAATAAATGTATTTTGTGATCAAATTATATCTTTTAGTATGACCCACATTCCCTTGATTCCAAACTCATCATCATACTTGTAAATTGCAACACATGGAAAAAGGGGAAAACTTTGAACTGCGGATAAAGACTGTCTTTGCAGAGGAAAATCAAGGATAATTTGACTATAATATGAATTTGAAATACTGAGGAAACTAGTAGTTTGACACCTTAAAAGTGGTAATGCAGAATCTGTTTTTCTCAGCCCTGGCATTGTGAAGCAAAAATTTGGTTTTTGACAACAAAAAAAGAAAGAAAGAAGATAGGTGTCAGTAATGTTTGAAGGCAGAAGAATGGTTGAAATCAGCAAAAGTTTTAAGACACAGATGACAAAAGATACAATAGTTTGGTTAGATTATTAACAGTAGTGTGACTCTTGCAATATTTTTCTATTGACATGTAGATGCTTCATATGCTTCCCTGGGAAGAAGAATGGCACAAAGAGATGACTGAATGGGCAAATGAGAAAGTATAGATGGAAATACTTTTCTGTAAAAGTGTTCATGTTCATTATCATATTTGAGTCCTTCCATCCTTTTTTCACAACACCATGATGTCAATTGAAAGCCATTATACCTCCAGCAAGGGATGATGTTAAATGAATAAAGCAGTGTAAATTTTTATGTGAAGATTGTTGAGGCTCTCATTAAAGGATTTTTTTCTTTAACTTTGGAGATATGTAAAAAATGGTGTTTTTTTGGCCTAAGTAGATGAAGTTATCAAGGGACCATGTGAAAAGTTTAGTGAGGGTATTTAAAGTGAAATAAAAAAAACCGCTCATTCCTTGTGTGGAAGGAGGTTAAGCACAATAAGCAATAACTGTTGAACATGATATCATGAATTATCAAAACCAAGGTCTGAGTTATCTGCCTAAATGGAATGGTAAGGCAGGGAACACAGACCTTAGGTTTGATAAATTATATCCAGTGGAAAAACCATATTTATGAATTGTTTTATTTTATATATTTTTTTAACAATCTACAATAGAGGACACTTTTCTCTGAGTTTGCAAAATATAAGAACTCTTCATGAATGAGGGGTTTGGAAACTAGGCAGACTTAACTCAACATGATTAATGCAATATCCGCTGCAGATATTGCATTATCTCATCTTCACATACTACTGTATATTGACTGAATGCTCTTCACCTATCATATTTTTGGTAGTAAGTCTAATGTAATGATGAGAATTATCATGAAGATATTTTTGCCATATAGCCAGAAAATCCCTAAACTTAACAAAACAAAATGTAAATTGTTGATATGGTGCATGACAAATCAAGTTTGAAGAGAGTAATATACCTGGATAATTGACACCTTAAGAAGTCTAATAACCAGCCTTGCGTGCCATTTATTCTTCCGGTTCCTGGAAATGAAGGGCCGGTCCAGAGTAAATCTCACCCAGACCTACCATCAACCATTTTGTGCTTGAAAATCTTCTTTCCCGACTCATACATGTTAACTCCTGTTTGCTGTCAGATTATGTGCTCGGTTACCAACGGACACTCCGATCAATCTGATTAACTTGAACGTCATTTGGGATTTCTATAGTTTTCACGGTGTGCGAATTGTCTAGACAACTTGCGCCACTATCTCACTGATCACGCGCGTTTTTCCGCGCTTTGACGATAGTTGCGTCTTTTTATTTCATCTCACTTGTCTGTGATAACAAAAGCCATTCAGGCTTTTAAAATGATAAATGGAAAAAGGGGTATGTTTTTAACGAAATGTCATTGAAATGTCAAATGACACGTCAGCCTCAAAAACTACGGTGGCAAATTTACATCATTAGCTCCGTTAATAAAACCAAATGATATCTCAAAACGATTGTCATCATCATCACCAACAGTCCTTTTCAGAAATAAAGACTGACCAGTAAGGTAAGAGGGCTGAAATACGTGCATTAAAGAGACAAAGTACACTTAATGTATGGTCCCGAGAGAAAACAAAACTAGCTAGTTTCCAAGGGACCATACATTAAGTGCTTTGTTATATATTTAGACTTTACCTTAAACAATCATAGGGCAAAAACGTGCTGTTGTATTCGGTGTGCGGGCAACAACTGCGCAACTGTATCCCGGTCGGATACATTTGAATTTGATTAGGGCACGTGACTAAGAATCAACTAATCACAGTGCTCGTTTTACAGAAAGGACAAATGAAAGCCAACAAGTCAATAGCTATTGCCAGTTGGAATCATTTAATTCTTCTTAGGCGAGAAGTGAACTACAAAAATATTTTGGCTTATATCGATTGTATCGAATCAGAAGCTTAAGACCTGCTAAACGCGCGCAGAATAATCAGTTGATTAATCTGTGTCGTAATATGACGTCATAATACACGCTTGCGCACGGCTTAGGAAAATTTCTGAGGTCGGTGTTGAAGTTCATGAGCACGAATTAGCAATGGCTAACCATGAAAAATTAGATGCCGTTTCACTGAATAATGTAAACTGGCTCCTAATAAGGCGTTGTCCACAGGTGCCTGTTAGGTATCAAACCATCCCTAGTCTCGTTACAGAAAATGCGAAACTTCCACCACGATTATTTCCGTATAATCTACCAATTGGACCGCGCCGACCTTTCTCGGTGATAAGTAGGCCACCTGCTCTTGGAATCGGAAAGATCAGAGGATTAGAAGAGAACAAAAAGAATGAATTATCTACAGAGGAGTCAAGTGGGACGTTTCCGCCTATAGAGATAGAGAGCAAAAGCGAGAAGGAGCTCCAGGTTTTACGTGAAACGGTGAGTTGAGGTTTGAGAGTCTCGATGAGAACTGTAATTCAATCAAGGAAAGGCGAGGGAGAAGAGGGGAAAGCTAATATTCAATGGCAGGGGTCAAAACGAATGGTTTGAGAAACCCCTTTATTGTAGGGAACTTTCATGGCAGCTAGCCACTTCTTACTATGAGCATCGCGGCTTTATGAATTGTTATAAATAGCAGAGTAGTACCAATACTCTGGTCGCTTACTGGTAGGTAAGTAAGTAAAAATTTATTCATACAGGGTAGCCCATTCGGCTCCAAGGCAGGTCTCCATAGGGGCCCTGCATCTTAAAAAAATTAATTTATATTAAGAATTTTCATAAACTATTACATTCAAAGAGCCTAATAAAAATACAATAATAGAATTTAAGTACTACGTTAAGAGCCTAAGAAATACAACGCAAAATCACTTTTAAAGCCTAAAATATAATCAAGAACCAAAGTCATGATAAAAAGAAATGTCTTGCTCGGCGGCAGATTGTCTGAATCTTTTCACTCTTCACAATTTTATAAAGAGTGTGTTAAAAATTTTGCTCCAGAGAAAAGAAAGGTCCTTTTCCCAAAATTCTGGCAAACGTTTGGTAGGGATAGCCTCATACTTTGCCTTATGAAATTATTGTAAATGTTCGAAATTCTTATAAAACATAATAAAAAATAACAAGGAACTAATGAGTGAAGACAAAGAAAAACAAGTTTAGCCAGTGCAGCTGCTCTATTGGTGCTCTATTAAGGCGGAAACGTGTCAGAAGTCGACAGGCACCTTTCCCGAAGCTTATTAGAAATGATTTAGTGGAACTATAAGCGTTCTTTAAAGCTCACGACAGACCTGTTTGCTTCCCAAAAGCTGCAAATCATCTACCGCATGATCGGGTTTTTAAAGGACTTTAAAGACAAACTCTCGCTGACGAGGTCTAACAGTTATCGTTCGTTTAATTGTTCATCTTGCTTTTCGCAAGAGTTCCGACAGAGCCTTCGTTGGAGACGAGGAACTTCCAGCGCGTAAAAGCGAAGCAGTCACTTTGCCTGAACACGAGAAAAATGCAGATCTGGTGAGATATCGAGCTGTTAGATACGAGCCTAGGCCCGAAATATGGCAAAAGGTTGCGTGTGTCTGGGACCAAGTCCAAACAAGACCCAATCAGTTTCATCAATACGAGTCCGATAGCTTATTTCCCGCCATATCAGCGTCAACTGTTAGGTACGGAAACAGCAGGTTGTGTAAATGGGAGGAATTAATGGTCTAGAGAGTTGTAAGAGAAGGAGAACTGAAGAGTGGCCTTTATCTAGAAATATCCAAACCATAATAATCACAACGACAAATCAAAAGAAAGAAGACTGAAAAAGAGCCAAGAACTCAGAATAAGATCGAGCAGACTACTGAGGAAATTGGAAAGCACTTGATTTTGGTTTCTTGATTAATTGGTTAAGAAAGTTTTCCATACCCTTAAAGTGTGGTCGCCGAACGAAGTAAAGCAAAACCATTTTCAGCTCCTAATTAACAACGAAAAAGAGTCAATCAAAATCATCTTTCCCCAACCACGACTGAGCTCAAAAACTTTGAACCTTACCATGAAGTTTTGATATTCTCTCCTAGATCAGAAGAGAGGGAGAAAGAACAAATCAATACAGTTAAACCAGCAGAGCAAACAATAGGAATGCCAAAGTTACCGGAAGGAGGAGAAGACGGAAACATAAAATTGTAAGTTGACTGTGAAAAATAACTTGATCCAATTTTTGCTTTGATGCAAAAGTGAGAAGTCCGTGAGCTAATTGCAGAAACGTGGGAGGATTGGGAATGAATTGCTACGCGTGGTGCGTTCTTTGGTCGCTTCAGTAGCTACTCAGAAGTAACTTCTTAAAAAAGATGATGGCAAAATGCGAATTTCTTGACGGTTCTACATAATTCATAAGTTTGCTATGGGAGAAAAGTGAATATTTTTTTGATGATATACCGCTTTCCGAAGAAGACATTCCGGGTTCAAAACTCCCTGAAGGTGAACTGGAAGAATGTAATAAAAATTTGTCCCTTTAAAGATAACTTTTGTGTCGAGAAGACAACTGGGAGGAGGAGAGTCTTGATACAGAGGTCAGTGAGGAGCTTCACTGAGTTAGAGATAAATATTTGATTCAAATTCTGCAAAATATACTTGACTCGATGAAATCTTTAAAATTGAAGCCGTGAGTTCGCTTTGAAGACATTGTGGTCTTTCTCTCGTTTACTCATTCTTGCAAATAAAATGGCGGTATGTTCTACAACTTCTGCCGGCTCAACGTCTTCTGACCATGCTTTATACTTTAAAAGATTCCACCAGTGGTGAAACTCACCTATGAAAACTTTAAGATCCAGATGAAGGCTTGAGACGAAAAAGAAAACAAAGCTTAGAATCCTTGAGGAAATAACATCGGTGCTATTTGGCGGTACATGTTTTAAAAGTGTGATGCTAACAACCACCTATCAACTGTTAAGCTTCTTGTGAAAAAGCTTGAACCACGCGTGGCAATTCATTCCCAATATCTTCCCACGTTTCTGCCAATAGCAATTTCTCGTGATCGTCATTGCTAATAATCGATTTTTTTTATGCCCAATCATCAACTTTTTTAGTTCTGATCCTCGACACGTCCAATTTCAAATGCTCTTAACGAGATGATGCATTGTGTTTTTCTTCGTTTTAACCTCACTGTAAACAACTGGTTTCTTCTCTCTCACAAACAGTTTCTTGTTCTCACAATTCTCGCACGTGGTCAAGTCCAGATATGGAAATAACTTATGCACGGTCCTCCCCACAAGGGAGGCGCGAGCTGAAAACTCTCGCAGATCCTTTTTCCAGGATCAAGGATGGGCTCGGGGGAGAGATCCCTTTTCTCCTCCCCCTTCCCCCCCTTGCTCTTCCTTTTCTCCACTTTTGGGGAAACCTCGGACCTTTCTTTCTTTCTTTCTTTCATTAAGAGAAACTACGTCTTTCGTGCGTGTCATATACGGTGATATTTCATACTTAACATTCATTGCTTGCATTTCAGCACCAGACCCACTCCAGGGTACGGAGGCTACATCAGCCGATATCCAGAGGAACCCAGACCTCCTCAGGGATCCTGGGATGAGGTTTTTGTAAACTTTTCTAAGTTAACTTACAGGTAAGGCGTAAATGACTAAAATTAACATCGAATACCTCGAATAAGAATTATGCTCGGGAAACCATATATTAATCATTTCTCCGCCGTATGGATGCCGGAAATAACGACACTGACCGCTTTTTAAGGTTTTATAAACTGAACTGAGCTCTTAAACATCGTTTTGAACCAGCAAAAAAATCGACTCCGCACGCTTTATGAAAAATTGTTTCTTGACTCAAATGATGCTCTTGCGCCAATGTGGCCAGGTTTTTTTTCAGCCGCGCTCTGTGGTTTTTAGCGTGCCGCCTGGTCACTAATGTTAGATCAGTTTTTACACTTCCTCTTTCAATTGTGTGTTGATACACTGTATACGCTTTCCTTTCATAACGAGAACCAGTCAAAAAGAAGCGAATATATCACATGTACAGAGCCAGGGAGAGTAAATGTTATTAAGTGTCTACCCTAATGCATGAAAACGGAAGTGAACCAGTTCCTATGGTTCAGGAGGTTTGCGTCTGACTTGCTGAGAAGATGGAGAAAATTGGTTGGATTGTTAAAAAAAAAAAGAAAAAACGAAAAAAATAAAAATAAAAAGACTCTGCATCCCGGTTTATTTTCGTGACCTAATGGAAAATCTTGCTCTTTCCATTTTCTCTTACCTTTGAATCACTTTTTTTTCGGTAGATCATATCCGTCCTACGAATACACAAAGGAGGAATTTGCTCACGAGGGACCACTGAGTAGACTTGTCACCACTACCCACCCCTCCAATCCGTTTAACAAAGTTGATAAATGGAGCTCTCGACCAAAGAAACTTTGCAAACGCGCTGACCATTCAAAGTTTATTTTTGTCAATTAAAGATTTTCTGATCGCTTTGTAGAAATAATAATCTTTCTTAGGTGACGAATAGGAAAATGTATCGTACAGTGTTCTCAGGCATTTAGAATTTCTAAGCATTTATTTCGTTTAGTTAAGCAGAGAGGCCATTTTGTAAATTGCAAGCTGATTTTTGGAATATTTTTTTCTTTGGTTTGTTGCCTAGAACTCTTGCAAATGATTTTGAACCACTCTTTTCTAAAACTAAACGAAAAGGGTTAGTCAATGTAAATACAACTGAAATGAATTGTTTTCGTATCAAAAAAGAAAACGAACAAAAACATAGTGAACAGGTGTATCAATGGAGACGGGCAAGAACTAACATAAAATAAACATTGTTTTGTCTGAGGCGATATTCGAAGGAAACATTTCAGCTAACAAACCTGTGCAAATTGAATGCGGAATGTTCATCGATATCATTATTGTATGGAAATGAAAACTTGTTAACGAATTTTAAACGATCTGTATCGATAAGTTATTATTCTCCTTTTGAAGTTTGGGTTAATTTGGATTTCAGTCGTTTCGTTTGTTCATCAGAAGGCGATAAAAAGTGCAGAACTAATTTCATTGAAAGGAAGATTTTCGCCTAATCGCCGCGGATATAATTTATCCGTGTATTCCCGTAAAGCTGAACAAATAGCAGGAGGTGAAAGGAGAAAACTGAGATCTCTTCATCAGTTGTTCGGGATTTATTCATCTAATCCAAGCTGAAGCGTTGAAAGGCTTTTCCATTGTTTGGAAAAAGTAGTGTATTCTACAAATATAAAAAGATTAGAGTCCCAAATTCAGGCAAGTGGCTAAGAAAGTTCGGCCTTGGCGTAATATTCTATCGGGACATTTCGCCCGCTTCAAAACATCGTTTTCTTCCATATGACTATAGCTTAAAAATGGAAGGATTTAATCAGTCATCAATCGACCATAACGTTACTGCGAATTGGGTTAATTCAAACCATTCTAAATTTACTATGAATTGTCTTTACGTGGATTTTAGTCGAAGCGCCATTGACAAGTTCTACATTACCTACATCTTGAGCATTGTTCTAAACTCTGTTTGTGCATTGCCAGCAAGTATACTAAACATTTTGGTCATATTAGCAGTATGGAGAAAATCCCAATTACACAACCCTTCAAATTTACTACTCAGCAATTTAGCTTTGACTGACTTTGGCGTGGGTTGTTTGGTGCAGCCCGTCTTTGCCGCGCACAAAATCGCCGCTCTACACGAGAATATTCCAGTTCACTGCATCGCGTCGCTCGCCAGCAAGACCTTGGCTTCACTTTTATGTGCAGTTTCTCTTCTTACACTAACTGCTATTAGTATCGACAGGCTCTTAGCACTCGCATTAAGCGTGCGTTACCGCACTGTGGTTACCATTCCGATTACCACGCGCGTCGTGGTACTTCTGTGGTTAGTAGGCATTTTAGTAACCATTCCGTTGTTTGTCTACCCAATGAGTTTTCTTTATTGCATGATCTTAGTAATGGTGATATGTTTAACAGTTACAATCATCGCCTACACTAAGCTGCTACATCTAATTCACCGACACAAGACAAAAGTAGGGGTGGATACACGGCAAACGACAAGACAACAGAGCCAAGAAACAGCCGAAATGGCCAACATTGCTAAATACAAGGCCTCCATTCGCACTGTTATCTACCTGGTTATCACAATGGTGTTGTTTTACTCGCCATATCTTGTAACAAACATTGTGCTGGTCGCAGTGGAATCGCGCAACGACGACCGTTTCAAAGCAGCTTTCAACATTACTCACAGCATTTTGTTCATGAATTCGATCGTGAATCCCGCTTTTTACTGCTGGAAGATAAAAAGCATCCGAAACGCCGTCATCGAGATGCTCCCTGAAAGATTCCAGGAATAAAACTAAAAAAAAGCATTAAAAGTTGTCTTTGCCTGACGAAATAAAGAACAGTGAAGAGTACTAGGATAGGATTGTCGTCCAAAAGTATTCATTTCCACTAGGGACACTTTAAGTTTCACTTCAAGACTTGTAAACCTTACAGGGTAGCAATGGGGGTCCTGACTCAGTTTCACGCATGAATATGAGAAAAATTCACGCGTCACGTGTACTTTGAACAGTATTTCACGCGTCATAAATTTAAAAGGGAAAACTTCAAATCTCACTTTACCTTGCTTTCTGTGAAAAAGTGTGAAAACTTGTAGGGAGAGAAATTGTACTCCGAGGATTCCACCAAGAATCAAAAAGCTCAGAGACAAAATTTTGTCATGTAAAGAATGAAATTTTGCGGTTTTTTAATGTTTGTGGATTTTGCGCATTGTACTTGTGTGTAGACCCATCAAAAATGTCCATTTACCATACGTGTAGCTTACCTCTGTACAACTAAACAAGTAATAAAAATTGTAAATTGCACGTTCCCTTCCTTGTCAATATTCTCTTTCTTGAAAATCGCAAAAAAAGTCTCCCAACAGGATTCTGTCATTTCGAACGGAAAACATCGCCCCCCCCCAAAAAAAAAAAATTAGCACTCTTCAATCCGTTGGGCAAAATTTTCCAACAAAAACGTTATCTAAAAAAGAAGCAAGTTGTGTACGAATGTCTGATGCTCATCCAACAACTGCTTGTGTCGAACGTAGTGATACATCTTGACGACGGAACAACCTAGTTTAATAAAGGATTTAATAAACAAGGTCTGAGTTAATTAAATTCAACGGATTCGAACGGTTAATATTGTTGTTCGAAGTCACTCTGCTCCTTGTTCTCGGCCATTCAGGCACGTTTTTTAGCCTCCCTAGTCTGTTACCACTCTCGCCCCTCACCTTGAGTTTTTGAAAATGAAATTTCTCTTGTAAGGGAGATGTACAAAGAAGGAGGGGGGGGGGAGAGAGAAGGGAAATTTGAACAGGATTTACCTCTTGATTTTTGTTTATATCAAGTGAAAAAATTCTGTTCTTGGGCTGGGGGAGGGGGTATCAGGGATTAAGCGAAATAAATCTGCCAAGGTTCAGCTGAGCGAAAGAGGATGGCGGGCGTTCAAAATAGTTTGATTGAATAGTTTGATTAAAGTAAAAGAAGGTCGCCTCGAGAAAGGATGGGAAAACGCAAGGAATGTTCTTCGTACGTGTTACTTTTAAGTTAACGTTAAGATGAGGACGAATTTTCGTAAACCCTCAAAATCAAATCTCTATTGAAGCGTTCGAAGAATGTAACGCCGATATTTTCAGGGGGGGAGGCAGATGCTTTTTGGAAGTCATATTCACAAATACATCGTCGTGTTACACGACCTTTGATGTCTCCAAGTGTATCCTCAAGTGTCAACATAAGCAATCCCATAATAATCATGTCCTTCGGAATTGAAACATTTGTAAGAACATAACAGTCCTCGTACTGGAATGATTCCTGTCTTTGTTCTTGTTCGTAGAATCTGAAAAGAACACAGAAATCCAAATTGAAAAGAATTGAATTTCCACCCAACTTTAATAAAATAGTGTTCGTGAAGTCGTGACAAGCTTATTTGATGAGGTTAAAGGGTGATTGACTGGGCTTTTGAATTGAAATGGTTTTGCTTTTTCAATCTACCACTCTTCGAGCCTGCAATGAAATTTATATTTCGAGCCAAAAATTAAATTTAGTATAGGTAGTAACATGATTTCGAGTACAATTTGGTGTTAATAAGCAGAAGAAAATTTTTCAAAGTCAACAAAATTTCACGAGTCCGTAGGGTGAGTGCAATTTGTGGTCTTTGAAAAATTTCAAGTGCTTAGTTACACCAATTGCACCAGAAAACATGGAATCACTTATCAATAATTGACATGACCAAAGCATCACAGAGAGTAAATAAAGACAAAGTTTTGAAAGCGCGTATGCTACTTGCAATTTGCACACGTGTAACAACTTTGCAATCGTGTTACACGAAAAATGCGCTCGCTTTCAGCCAATGAGAAGCACGTAACTTTTTCATGTATATTGTTAAGCTACAAATACAGGAGCAGAATCGATGATACGGAAAAAACAAGAATTCGACTGAGTGTTTCAAGTTTTCCGCGTTCAAATTAATTCTTTGAGGCCTTGAACTCCCAACAGTGGATGCATGTTCATAAAGTGTGGAACGGAGAACGGAAACGGAAACGGGAAACGGTAAATGCAAAAGAAAAACGAGGAACAGAAAAAAGAGAGCGGAAAATAAGGAACGGGAAATAAGGACGGGGAATATTGTTTTGACTCGCGGTGTTTTTGGGCCGGTTTCATTAACTTCGCACTTTCAACAACTGTGCAAACGACTAACATTCAAGGTGAAAAATTATAGAATATTGTGACGTACTTTATGGGCATCCACAAAGTGTACACACTCCAGCCAAGTATTAAGGAAAGATTGTCCACACACTGCACATTCACTGGCGTATTGTAACATCTCCTGTACCTTTGGGTAATGGCGTATTGCACGCTTTACAAAGGATCGCCTGCGATAAAATGGAACGAAACAGAGACTTTGAGGAAAAATTAAAAATGGAGGCAACAACGATGATCTGAATTCAAGCTTTTTCAACTCCGGCCAGCGAGGAATCGTGCACGAGTTCTCTAAAGCTGATTAGATAGTACAATTACTAAAGCTCAGATTTGTATTTTTTGTTTCACATTTTGAAAATAATTGAAAATCTTTTTCCTCTTTACCTCCAAGGTCAAAAATATTAAATATTTTTTTGTTTATCTATCTATATCATTGACCTAAATATTTCCCAACGAAATCAACAGGTGGATTGACTTACCCATTTTTGAGATCCTTCAACACTGAGCGAGCTGTAATCTCCTATTAAGTAACAAATCAATCAATGTTAGGGTCACGTTCAATTATTCTACCGTGTTTACCAAATGATATGTTAGAATGATCGTGCTTTCTTAATGCTTGTTTTTTTCGGAATAAGTCTGGAAAAACAATTTTCGGTAAAAAGGCAAGTATGCAAGTATGATCGAGTATGAGTCAATTCAATTCATTACGTTCTTTAGTTTGCAAACGACAAGACGGGCAGATTTAAACTTTTTCTGGCTAAAAGAACAGTTTACTTCTACATATTTAATCTAAAATTTAATTTATTCACCTTCAGTGTCAAAACTTCATCTTCTTGTTGAGAGTGAACGGGAATATGTTGCAAAAGATTGTTTTCTTCACAATAAAGTTCCTTAAGGGGAAGATGCGCCAACTAAAATAGTAAAATAAAACAATTTGCTTTGGACAATGTAATTAAGATGCATGAAGTAAAATTACTAAAAACAATGAACAACTTTTGTAGCTTTTGACATCATGTCAAATTCCACAAAATAAAAGATCAATGCTTTAAATAAATCTGATAGACTGTATTTTAATAAGTTGTCATAACCCCATAAACCAATACTAAGGTGATGGGCAATGGGCAAAAGGCAATGGCCAAACAGAACAAGGAAAATTATTGACCACAGGAAGCCGGAAATAACTCAACGCATGTGTAAACAGGAGTGACTATTAGTCACAATAGGTCTGATTGGTTAGAAGGACTGCATGACATTTCTGGATCAATCATAGAGAGATTCAAAGGTTCTCATACATATGGTAAACAGGTTAGGCAAAACAAAAGGAGAGCTTTTATCAAACCTCAGCTGGGAATATTCTAAGTCTATTGGCAGACACATCTAGTACTCTGAGCTGGGTACACTTTGATAAACCCTGTCAAAATACACAAATGCTGATCATTTTTCACATAACCTACAGTACAAACATGTTCTACAGCTGGCTTGAGAGTAGAAGGGTGATATCAACTGAAAGCTAAAAAAATGCTCAATGAATAAACTTAAGATACCCTACTCAGCTGAAAATGAAACAAAATTGGGATGGTTTGTTTAATAACTTAAAAGTATATGGACTATCAAAATTTTTACTTTGGAAAATAATTCAAGAATTCTACCAGCTAGTTTTGTACAAATAAACAAAACAAAAAATGTAGCATGCTGTACAACAAGGATCCTTGGTAGTAAGACATTAAAATTTTATAACAAATCATTAGTTCTAATGGTCAGTCAAGTAACTAACAAACCTCTGGCAACTCTTCAATAAAGTTTTTGTACACATAGAGTTTTGTAAGATTCCTAAGAAACGCCATGTCTTCTGGAAGACTAAGTTGGAGAAAACATGAGAACTACATTAGACCTAGATTCACAAGACCTTCACTAGACTTAACTAGACCTAGATTCACATGGTGATCAATGATCTCATTTGAAAACTGCAGCTCACAAAAAGCTCACTCAATTAATAAATTTACTATGAAGTGGGCTGTGAGTACAGACGCCTTTTTTGGAATTGTTATCTTACACAATTTTCCCCATGTGAGAGACACTTACAATGATAAATAATAGAAAACAAAGTAGAAAAAAAAGGAATTAATTTCTTTAGAACCAAAAACAAAGATGGCATATATTGTACCTTGATATCTGATTATCAGCAAGATGTAGTTCTGTGAGGTTGATCAAGTGACAAATCTCTGTAGGAACACTGAGTAACTCATTGTGATCTACACTGAGAAACTGTAACGACACCAACCTGAGATTTGTGAAAAAAATAAAATAAAATAGTAACAAATGAAGAAAATGAATGAATAAAATCAACAACAAATTCAAAATGTTGGTGCAAATAATCCTTCAACATTGTTGAAACTAACATGATGAGCCCATTTAACCCCTTAACTCCCAGATGTGATTATTACATTATCCAGAAAAGTGGTGATGAGAATTCTCAAACTAATCAGGGAGAAATACTTACCTTGATCCACCACCAAACTCTGGCAACTAATTTTTAAGGAAATGTGCAGCAGCTAATGGGGATAATTGAAATTTCAAATCTTTGGAGTTAACAGGGCAATCACAATGTCATAAAATGCTACATGATTTTGAATGAACTTTGATTGAACTTTGATTGCTAACAACCATTGACTTCAAGCACATCTTGAAAAAACTACTTTTGTTCTCAAATGTGGGTAACACTGTTGAATTTGTTTGGCCACCAAGTTTAAAATTTAATCGATCATCAATTAGTAGTTGATGAGGGAAAATATTGACTGAAGTAATTATTGAGAAAAGAGAATATGAAACAAATTAATTTTATACCTGTTTATTTCACTTGGCAATGTTTTCAGCTGATTTCCATTCAGATTTAAAAAAGTGAGTTTTTGGAGCCCACCTGAAAAGATTCCATGAAATAATTGGTATAATTCCGAAAAATATAATTAATATGACGTTGTTTTAAATGTTCAGGTTTATTCATCGGCTTGTATTTAGAGTACTTACTGAGGACAACAGAATTGAGTTCTCTTAACTTGTTATTAAACAAATGTAGCTTCTGCAAGCCAGCTAAAAAAGAGAGGACTTCTGGAAGAGCTTCTAACTTGTTGTTCCCAAGGTTTAAGGATTCGAGCTAAGGAAACGAATCGTAAACAAACCGGCTGTAAGTATGTAACTTCAGAACAAGAATTCAAAACTTAAACTTCAATCTTCTTACATATAACTCAGGTTGACTATGGTGCCACAAACAATGCTTGGTATTCAGTTCTCTACCTCAAAACCTTTATCTTGCTACAATAATGAAGAGTTTTTTGTTTTCGCGAACTTTTAGCTTATCGTATTCAATTGAATTTAAACGTAAACATGCAAGACTTGGTAAAGATGTCACCTGTTTGAGAGAAGAAAATTCATCTGGAAGGTCCGTTAAGGTATTGTTTTTCAGGTCTACGGTTTTAAGGGAAGTTATTTTTCCAATTATTGGTGGAACGTTCCGTAAGTTCTTGTTACAAATGCTGAGGGACTTAGGTTTTCCTTTGGTCGCGTTCAATAAAATTCTGTCCGCCATTTTGTATCCATGTTAGCAATGCTCGCGGGCTCGTGATCCTTAAACTCAGTTGAATGTTTACAGGACTGTTTAGAGGAAAGCGTCGAGTGTAGCACTTTGGCTCTGCACAAAGAATTTAAAGAGAATGTTTCAGGCTTCGTCGTGAATCTTTAAACATGAGTGGTGTATCATTTGTATCAGAGACCGAAATCGAGGATGTACGTAAAAAGAAACAGGAAGAATGGGAGAAAGTTAGAAAAGAAAGCGATCCAATCGGTAAGCTAAATTATTTGGTCGAAGATTTCCTGGTGAAGGTCGAGCTAATCAGGCGCAATATTTTTATTACGAATACGAATTATTTGGCGCCTAGTTATCTTTTCATCATGCAGATCATTTAAGGTTTTTTTTTTCGAATATAGTTGACTAGACAATTTCGTGTGGTGAAGTGAAGTGTTGAGTTTCACTCTCTCGCCCCAGGATCTCCTCGTACGTAGTAAATACAAAGGCTGATATTTGATGTAATTGGATAACCTTTGAATCTTCGATTACCTTCCTGTTTAATTTTTCTTTAATTAACCATATCCAAAAAGAAAATACAATGTTAACAATTTGAATCAAGGATCTGAAAATGGAACCACAGCAATTTATGAGATTTTGTATGGTATATATGCTGAATTTTAGAATGCATTCAGGCCTGTACATTAGGCCTTATTTTCACTACTGCTCAAGTAGTGTCTATTACTACAAAGATCACCTCCATATTCACAACTAAATTGCCTGCTATACTCTCCCACCAATGCAGCACCACAGTTTCTTTTATTAGAAACTTATCCCCCTTACTCAACAAACAATGCTGTCAATTTCATCAGTCCTAATTTTACTGAGAAACATTTATCAACTAAATTTCTGTTGATCTCTATGTAACAAATAGTAAATCAGTCTGGGATTAATTGCTAACAATGTGGCAGTTTGTTTGGGTTGGCCTTTGTGATTGATTTCTTTCTTAGTGTTTTAGGGAGTGAATTTTTGAGCCGAGCCATTCAGCCGAGCTGACTCTGTTTTGCTTAGTTTGCTGCTCAGTTTTGTCCCAGTATTGTATGAAATGAACCATTATGAGAGCCAGCTTTGCTTGCTGTGATCTTTGCACAATGAACACTGTCCTAAATGTTCTCAGGTTAAACTTTCTGACAGCATAATGACTACATTTACTGGGTAAATGGGTTCCAGGTATGCAAGCTTTTCAGAATCACAACTGTGAACAACGCTGAACTTTTCCCTGCATATTAACCTTTTAACTCCCACAAGTGACCAAGACAGAATTTCTCCCAACAATGTCAATACAATATCAAGCAGACAAGTGATGAGAATAAAGGAAAGTCTTAAAAAGGGGATTATTAGCTGATCCAATACCAAATTCTCCAAACTAACATCACAGGAACCATATGGCAGACAGTAAGGAGAATTACTAATTACTAATGGGAGTTAAAGGGTTAACGCCTGCAGTGCTCATTGAGCACAAAACCAAATTTAACACTAGATTTTCAAACTACCCTTATTTCCAAATGGTAGAGTGCCCTGAGCCAGTTCATGACAATAAGACTTTGTATGAAAGACTACAAGAACAAAAACAGAAAAAACAGGATGAATGGGACGAACAACATCAGTTGAGTAAGTACCTTGTGTTTCTTTTTCAGTGCTGAGTGTATTTCAGGATAGGTTTTGAGCCTGATTAGAAACAATTTTATTCAGAGTTTTCTTTGTAACAGACTATCTTGACGTATTTTGCCCTGAATAGAATAAACATCTCCAAATTGTTGTCTCATTAAAGAAAGTTTATCTGAAATTATGTGACCAAAAAATTGGGTAATATTCTGCACTCCTGTGAAAGATGATAACCGAGAACTAGCAGTGAGTAATGAAGTATCCATTACAATCTCTTCTGTGAGAAAAAATTTATTACGAAAAAAGGTTATCATCAAGAATGAGGAAATTAAGTGACTTATTATGAACTAAATGAAGTTATTCTACAGTCAATGTCAACAAGATTGTTGGGTTGACTTCTCTATGGCTCATGATGTTTAGGTGTTTATGTTGTGGTTCAATTTTATCCTTAGCTCAAATTTTATTTTCTTTTGTTTTTTGGTATTGTAATGTATATTAATGAGTTTGAAACAAAGGAAAATAAAATTTGAACCAAGGATAATATTGAACCACAACATGTATATTGCATTCAGCTATATTTTATAAGAAATATTAATGTGTACTATTACAGCAAGAATTGAGGACAAGGTGGTTAAACCACAAAGGTCCAGTTGAGTAAATCAGAAATCCAGTTGAGCATTAAGTACACTCTCAATTAGTGCCATGTTGGATATAAATGACTCACCACGAAAAGTATATCAAAATGCTAAGCACTAATAGGCTAAATGTTGAGATGTAATTTTGAAGGTGATGCCCAAACATCATATCCATATATTGCTTCTATATCTTGAGAAATATCTTTTTTTGTTTAGAAAATATGATAAGGGGCCTTGATGGTGATGAGACAGTGTTTCTTGACCTGGTTGCTAAGCAACAAGAGGAGATAGCCAATCGCAGATTTGATGAAGAATCACAAGAAATCAGAGAGTATAGGGTATACAATATAGTTATTGTTTCTATTTTTTTTTTCTGTGGTCTTAGTCTTTGTATCTAGCTGATTAGGAAGGAAAGCAATCACACTGTCTGGCCTTAAGTCATTTGTGACTCAAATTTCCTTGTGAGTCCCAAGGAGATTCTGATGTTGCATTGAAAGTCATTAAAATCTTTATTCCACATATTCAATTGATTAATTTCAACTTATCATTTCCAATACAAATCTAATTTGATAAGAAAAGTTTGAACCTAAACTATGCTTAAGTAGGCAGAAGTGGTCATCAAATTTTCTTTCTTTTGTTGATTTAGGATGCAGTTTCTCAGTTTCAGAGTGCCATAATAGCTGAGCCAACAACTACCAAACCAGCTGGGTCAGCAGTATCTCAACGAAAGTCCTCACAGGAGTCTGGGGCCAAAAAAAGTCAACTACAACTTATAGCGGGGGCCATTAAAAGAAAAAGGTATGAATACTACTTCATATAAGAGAAGAGAGCACGAATCAGCTCATTTGTTTCATCAAATTTGTCACAAAAAGGTCTTACAGCATGCATATATGCTTTGATGCATGGAAACATTGTCACATGCAAGCATGCAATCAATTGCGTCTAAATATGTGCATTTCCAAATCAAATGCACAAATATGTCTTTTCTCTTTTCTTTGCAGTAGTAGCAGTAGTCAAGAGTCTCCAGAAAAGAAGTCAAAAGCTTCCAACGAGTTGGAGAAAAGTAAGAATTTTGCAAAATTGAGACGGTTTGATCTTCTACAACTGCTATGAAAAAGTCAGTTATTTCAAAACATTTCGGGCGAGTGACACACTGCGAAGCCCTTCGCGTCTATCTCGCGTTCACTTCGCCTCACGCTCACTCTCACCTCTGCTCCCGTCTGGAAAATACTGAAAATTGACACCTGTTCTGAAGGCTTAAAGACGTGTGATTTTTATTATTTTGAGAGTGGGTGAACAACTCAAGAAATCTTTTGCATGTTCATAGAAAAGGAGGCACCTAACAGTGCGTAGTCCCTATCTGGGAGTTTATTGTTATATTCAGTAACAGAACACCAGCTCAAATCCCATCTTATTCCCCACACAGTTACGTCAGAGACGCACGAAGAGAGGAACATTAGATCTGAGAAATCAAGTGCAAGTGCGGAAGAAGACGACCTGAAGAAAAGACCTTTGGCAAACAGATCTGACAGTGCTTCGAAATGTGAAACAAAGTCTGGTATTAATCAAGAAAAGCAGGAAAAACAGGTTATACCAGGACTTGGAGCTTATTCAGACTCAAGTGATTCAGACTCGTCGTCTGATGAATCTTAATGGGTGGTCGCTGGTGAATGAAATTTTTCTCAGTGGTTGGAAGGAAGGTCATAAAACAGAATCTGCGAAACAGATTCATTTAAGTGAATAAGTTGATAGCGTTCTTTCTAAATGAAAGCCGTGAAAAAGGAATGGTGAGCCATTGGAAAGGTCATCATGCGGACTGAACGCATGCAGTGTGTTTATGTTCAAGTGCAACATGGACGAAAACTTTCAAATGATAGTGAATTTTACTTTGCAGTTTTAGCTTTTCAATAAAAAACTTCAGAATCCAACAGGAATCCAACTTAGTTCAGTGTGGAAAGCAATTTGCCACTGAATTATATTTGCTATAATACTCTCTTTGATTGGTCCAAGTAACTCAAATCACTTCAGATAATCAAATGCAGTACTAAGTCTATCCTAACTTGGTTGCACGCGTTTTCGCGCGCACTGGTGCATGTTTACTTATTTGAAGAGTTCTTAATGGCTTTGTCTGTATTTTAATAGGCCGTCGCAACTACTTTGGACATTATCGAAAGGCTATTCTACTCCGGAACCTTTCAGATTCAACAAAATAAATTATATTTGAAACTTAAGCTGCATGAAGTGTAATGTTTTCCTAGGATGAAGTCTTGACAGACCAGACAGATCACCCGGTAAAGACTGTTGGTTGGTTCCAGATAAATCGGATGAAAATTTAATTTTTTTTGGGAGAGTCTGTATCATGATATCCTCCACGGCTTATGGCTTGAACTTGCAATGAATCTTTTTACAAAGCGCCTCCGTAACACTGACGATGCCAGTTTGGACTGTGTACAAAAAAATTGCGAGGTGAGTTAAAAACGGAATATTATGCCAACAGTTCCGTGAATTTTCGTTGTTAAAAACAGCTGAATTAAATGTCAACGGAATAAAGTTGCTAGTTCGTTCGAAGTAAAATCGCTTTCATTGACAGACGGAATGAATCGTCAGTTAGATCAGGGATACTAGGAGCGGCCACCTTCAATGAATGACAGCTTTATAAACTGAAACAACTATTACCAATTCGGGCTTTTACCCTTCTCGTCTGTATCTGCCGGAAGAGACTTGGACCATTGATGCAATATGGTAACTGAAAAGGAAGTCAGCTGTTGTACCAAACAAACGGTCTTTGTCGGGTTGTATATCGAGAAGCAACTTCAGAATCGTAATTAATTTAATACCTTGATAACAAAAACATTTGTTTCCTCTTCACTGTCAGCACTAGAAGCACGTGGAATTATCTAAGAAGCTTCTATGGGGCTAAACTTTTTATAAAATCCTCCATTTACTCGGCATCTGCTTCGTTAGTTTGTTGTTCCATCTCAATCGGTTCTACGTGGCGCTTCTTGCAAACGTAACAACACGAAGCCACAAGAAGGGCTGTTACAATTCCTGTTAATGCAATGATGGCGGGAACGTTCATACTTTGATTCTTAAAATTTTCGATTACATGGACGCTTTTCGATCAAGTTTGAAAAACCCGTTTCATCAGGACTTTAAACTGGAGCTCCAATTAACTTGTAACAGCAGACATCGAAAAGGACTGACATATCAAATATATTGCGGCTCTCATTAAAATCTCTAAAATACAAATATCATTTACAAAGTGACAGAAATGTCTTATTTTAAAGCTAGTAATGTTTAAACAGAGCGTAGAGCAAACGAAAATGTAATAACGTGAAAGCGCTGCGAGAATTTTAATGAGCAGTTTCAATGAAGATTGTCGCACAGGATATGAAACTAAGTACTGGAAAGTGCTGACTAAAATTGCGTTTTCCTCGAAGACAAAAGCAGAAAGAAAACTTCGTTTTTGATTATAAAAAAACACCTGTGGTACAATGAGGTTTTTCGGTTATGGCAACTTTCTGAATAAATCTTGCACAACTTTTCTGATTTTAAACCTAGCCCATACTTAAAAGAATATTGAGGCATGATTGGAAGCAAAAGTGAATTTCCTTGAAATTTTATTGCTGTAATATTGCGTGTATTATAATTCAAATTTAAGACTTCGTTTGCTTGAATGGTCTTCAGCGAAACTTCAAAGTTGCCGCCTCCTCACAAGAGATTACAAGCAATGTTGCTACCAATTAGTTTCCAATAAAAACGCTTCGGTGAAAGCGAGCCATTTTACATTTCTAAACAGCTTCGGAATGAATCGATATGATCTGTGAATATCTCTCTGGGATATTAAACCAGTATGCATATTCTCCATATTATTTTGTATACATTAACTAGGGTGCTGACAAGGAGAATTTGTCTAACAATCAAGATCTTCTTGAGTTGGTGATCATTTGGTCTATTCTTGTGACCTCGCTGTTTCATTCAGTGGTGACAGTGCAAGGAGAGATTAGATGCCAGTCACACCTAGGAATTAAAGGGTTGATTAAACAAAACTCCCAAACTCAATGGTTTTAAAAATAAGGTATTTGAATCTTTCGTTCGCTGAAAAACTTTGAAAATAGAACTTAACAGTTATTTGTTTGAAAAAGGTTAGATTGCAAAGCTAGGACTGCATCATGCATTATGAGGCCAAGCAGTAAAGTTTACTGGTTTAAGGTTTAATGTACTTGGGTTAGCGTGATTTTCGGCTGTGATTAACAATTGCTCTAATTGGTGAGTATCTAACCACGTTTTGATGAGAAATTTCTCTCGCAAGACCGCTGATGTACGGCTCTTTTTTGTATTCTCTGTTTATATTCTCTTGGCTTCAGTTATTCAGTTTTTACTTTCCCTCCCGACGTTTTGAAATTAAATCTTGTCAGCATGACAGTCTTATAAGAATGTAGGTCTGCTATTAATCTTTCAAAATCGATCAGCAAAATCACGGTTAAATATATATCCGAAGTCCTACTTATCATATCTAAAGCATTTATGTAGACATTTCTGTAGATCTTTCTCCTGAGAAAACTATTCATACCCCGGTTGTAAATTTTTTTGTAACAAAATTCTAGAGTGAATTACTTTTTACTGACTAGTGTTTTTTTTCTTAGTTGTGTTGGGTATTGTTGGTCAATATGTCAAAATTTGCTACATGATGTTGTTACAAATTGCGTAGACCGACGATATTTTACAAAATGCGTAGCTCGCTGTTGTCATAAAGTGCTGAAATAGCTTTTCCAAAATGCCGGCACCGTAATGACAAAATGCTTAGGTTCTCACAAAATGCGTCGTTGTTACCGGCCATGACTAACATCCTTTTTGTTTTGGTGGGGATTAATTTCAAACCCTGTTCTTGCACTAGTGAGTATCATATTTAAGGAAGTTTTCTTCATATGGGGAACATTTACACATAAAAACTCACGACTAAGTTTAGAGGTATCATGAAGTCTATTTATATTTGCCAATTATTCTCCACAGCAAAACCAAGAGAAATATTAAAAAAATTAATCAATTTTCGGCCTTAATGTTCAATACAAAGATTTTTTCTTCGTTAGCCTCAGGTACACCACTGATAATGTCCGTAGCTACAATACTGTTTGCCTAATCATAGAATGAGATATGTTAGGTAAATAACGTTGATTGACACGATTAATCGGTCGGTAAACAGAAAATCAATAAGAAAAAACACAACAAAAGAATAAAAATTCGAAAAGGAGATAGAAAGGTGAATTGGAATTCTCTTAAACTCCAGTGAGCAGTATTTTCAAGAGGTTTGATTTTACGTAATGGCTTCAGTTTCAGATGGTCGATCGTTTACCGCATAACTAATTACGTCTCGCTGTGTGACTGCAATAACGTAAGTTAATGTAGGGTTTGACGTAAGTACCTAACAAAAATAAAGCCATTCCAAGAGGGAAGACAATATTTGTTAAGTTAAATATGACAAACTTACAATCTGCAGTACATCAAATGAAAGGGTATTTGTATACCGCATGACTAATTACGTCTCGCCGTGTGATTACAATAACGTATGTTAATGTAGGGGTTGACTTACCAAGCCTTGGAATGGCTTTGTCTTCCCTCTGAGAGGGAAGACAAAATTTGTTAAGTTAAATGTGACAAACTTACAATCTGCAGTACATGAAATGAAAGGGTATTTGGTATGTCGATAACCAAATGTCTCTCTTTACAGAAACTCCAAGAATAAAATTCTGTTTTGTGGTGTAGAAAATTCCTGCATGCTTCCTATTCGCTGAGAGATCAACAGACGCCCAAGGGAGAACGAGAATGTTGATGTTAGCAGCTGCTGCTATTGAGAGACACACTGTGTGTTTCTTCTAATTACATTATTGTATAAATTTTCAATTCGATATCGAAATGATGGCCTTGAATAAGTTTCTCCACATTTTGGTTTGGAATATTTTCATTCTGTATTCTTGCAGCGGTGAGTATGACATTGCAAAGTTTTCCTTAAGTGAAGAGCGTCCGATTCGAACTCTATCGATTAATTTTAGATGCACCATGTAGCCTTTAAGATTTAAACCAAAACTATGTTGTCCCTAAAGCGGGTAAATATTTTAGAGTGATTCTCTGCTCAGAAAACAAGGTAAAGAAAGACAAAGAAAAAAACTTAATCAGTTTTCGGCTTCTTTAACATAAGTTATCACCTCGAACATGCTTCTTTCGTAAGCCTCCGATGCACCACATTTTGTAATAACACTACCGCTGACGCAATCGTACATAGAATATGAATTGAATTTATTTTAAGTATGTCAATTTGTAAGTAACACCAGGCTGTTGATAATGTTAGAATTGTATTTTGTGTGTATTGCAAATGAAAAACATTAAAAAAATGGTGAAAGAAAAATCCAGTTATGTTTATTTAAAACCCTCTACAGTATTTTGGTTTGAGATTTTCATTTTACGGAATTTCACAATGCAAAAATTAATTACAAGATGGGGAAACAAGAGAAGATGTTTATTGAATTTAGTGGCTGAAATGAAAACAAAATAACTCGTAGAGTAGCCTGAGAGTGTGGAATAAATTTCGATATGATAAAAACAATAACTACAATAAATAAAGTAAATGGATGACTCTTTTGTATGAGAATAAAATGATTCTCAACAGTGAAGCACTAAATGTGGTAATTGCAGAAAGTTAAACCTGGAAAGAAAAAGAAGGAATTGGATATTTGCGTTTCAGATGTCGATCGGGCTGGAGGGGGAAAGGTTTTACTTGGAAAGTATTTTTAATTGAAGATCAACTGATTGCTTAAGATCTATTGCATGTACTATTAGTGAAAAGTCTTTTATATTTTCGTTACAGGTAACGATTGTCGCAACATTGTTTTCAAAAAGCCAATAATAGGCAAGGCAATGGAAGGTCATGTGATCAAGAGTGAAGAGGTCACTAATGCAAGGAGCTGCCGAGTGATGTGTTATATAGAGCCAAACTGTGTATCCATCAATGTTGGGCCGTCAGAGGGAGGGAAACACAGATGCGAGCTAAACAACGCCACTGTTGGAAACCAGTTTATGTTCTCTCTTGAAAATAGATCAGCATACACCTTCTTCGCTATCGAGGTAAAATATTACAAACGTTGATGCCTATATACGAGTTTGGAGCCTAGATTTCGTTTGCTGGGAACTGACTTATTTTTTTCAACCAGAATCCCTGCAGCAGCAGTCCATGTTTAAACAATGGCACCTGTCAAGCTGGATTTACCAGTAAAGGTTTTCGATGTCTCTGTCAGCGTGGATTCACTGGTGAATACTGCAGTAAAGGTGAAAGAAGTTTGTCAAAAGATGCGTTTGTTAATTCATAAATCTTTATACACCTAGCACCATGCATAGCAGGCGTCATGATTTCCTGGCGAGCGAGTGCTAAATATTCCGATGCAATGTTTAATAATTTTTCACCGAAGTGCAGGTAAAAAGTGACAGAAATTCCACCACTTTCACCGACACTGAGGTAAATAATTTTCTTATGGTATATATCTCACCGAAGCAAACCTCTTATAAATTAGCGCCATGCGCTGTAAAAGGGGATATTGACTAATTTAGTTCTAAATGTTGTCATGATAACCGAATCCATATAAATGCCGAACATCGTGTTTTACCGCTCGCTAGTTTACAGAAACTGCGCTGAAATCTGGAGATCAGGGGAAACAAGAGACGGTGTGTACAAGATCAGTCCTGACAATTCGCCTGCTTTTGAGGTGTTTTGTGACCAAACAACAGCTGGTGGAGGATGGACAGTGTTTCAGAAGAGACTGGACGGCTCAGTTGATTTCTACCGCTACTGGAACGACTACATACATAGCTTTGGCAATTTGAGTGGTGAATTTTGGCTGGGACTGGAAAATATTCACCGCTTGACCTCAGATAGCAACAACATGCTAAGAGTAGACTTGGAAGACTTTGAAGGGAATATTACATATGCTCTATATGACATGTTTGCTGTCATGAGCGAGGATGACAAGTACAAGCTGAGCTATGGTACTTACTCAGGTGATTTAATATATTTCACAACTGAACAGTTCTCTTGTTTCCTTTTAGCTTTTGCACGGTTGTCGATTAGTGGAGACAATCTAAAAAGCTAACGATCAAAACCCGGCGGGGTGTTAGAGTAAATAATTTCCAAGAGAAGTATACATCATTCCTCCGAATTCTTAATCTTGCACTAATTCTCTGCACTTCTCTGTTATTGCTTTCCTATATTTGCATGCAAACAATCCAGCCCCCCCGCCCCTCCCTTCCAAAAAGGGAGAAGAGAACGAATTTGAAAACGAAATATAAAACTTAGCACACTAAGCGTAAGGAAAAATTTGGTCATTTTCACTAATTTAAGTTTACAGGATGCACTTAAAATATATATAGATCTGCAAGAACTTTCAAATAAAAACTCAAATCGTACACACTAAACGTAACAAAATCCTATTTATGACAAAAAATTCTGAATGAAGTTTTCCGCTACTTAATTGGTGCCAGTTCCTTGAAGCGAAAAATATAAATTTTGGTTTTATGCCGGTATTTAGGGGAAATTTGGTTGATTTCTTTGCTCGCTCTTTTCAAGTATACAGTGTAACAAATTTCCTGGCTTAGAGCGTGATCTGTCAGTTCAATTGCAGGTTTGGAAAATCAGGAAAATCTTATTCCCAACGTAAATGCATTTCCAAATTGTAACCCGTTTGTGTTTTGAGCCTATAATCTCTGTGGGAATTTATAATTTAATAAAGTTTAGGATCCGTCCGTACTTTACACATTTATGTTATAGTGCTTAATCAACATTAGGCAGCGGACTACTCCGGTGATAAGTAATTTCGGTGAGGTAACTGTTTGTTTATTTTATGTCTCAGGAAATGCTGGCGACTCTCTTAACTGGCATAGAAATCAGCCCTTCTCCACCAGAGATCAAGATAATGATCAGTGCAGCTGTAACTGTGCCATTTTGTACGAAGGAGCCTGGTGGTACAGCGGATGTCACCATTCGAACCTCAATGGCTTTTATCACCGTGGCAGTGACTCCCCCCATGGTCGTGGTGTGAACTGGCTCCACTGGAGGGGACATAATTACTCCTTGAAGAGAACCGAGATGAAAATAAGACCAATGAATTACTGATCGTGGCTTACTTCAGCTGATCGAATACCACAGACACCCGACAAGAGCTTCGGGCAATGGAAATTCCTTTTAATTTTTTTTTTCTATAAAGGGGGGAGGGGAAATGGGAGGGGGTTAAATGAGGGAAACTCACGCGAGACGGGAAGCACGTGACACGTGACGGTTCAACCATCTGACCAACGAAAACGTGACTCCCTTCTTGCAGGATACAGAAATTTTGTGTTTCAGTGCTTTGAATTTGCCGTGCTATCTCGATCAAATGGTCGTGGTTAGCCTGTTCCAAGGGTTCAGTTGGAAAAAGGAGCGAAAAAGTTACCGACGCGGAAGTAGCGGTAGTTACAATAAACGCCGCTTACCGGCGGTCTCTCGCCACCTAGAGATCTCTCACCGCCTTATGTTTACCTTGCGAGCAGGCTTTCGTGTTTTGGTTTCACCTTGCGGCACAGCCGCATATAATCGGCTGCCGCTTAGGGAAAAAGTTAGAATCGGCGAAGTGAAAAGGCGTGGGAGGCTTGGGTCGGAGCCTTGACACAAGCCTCCCTTATTTTAACACTCCTCCGTTTTTTGCGCCATCTAATATCGCGCTTCTTTTTACTAACTGAACGCCTGGAACAGCTTAGGTTGTGGATTTTATTCCAAACTAAGCCCGGTGAACCCAACGCTTATGTGAAACCGATATTTAATCAGGGTGTGGCGATTATAAACGGAGTGTATTTACCTGTCATTTCCTTTTTTTTTTTTTTCTCCTTTCTAACAGTCCGCCGAGACCATGGGATAGGTAATCAAGACAGCACGTTTTTTCTTCTCTTGAACAAATAGAGAAGCAATATGTTGAAGCAGTGCAATATAGCTCAGTTACTTGTTAGCTCGATCAATCTTCAAAAGCCCGATCAAAATCAAACACCCCTAGCGGCTATTTTGTAGCGTTGCTGTTATAAGACCGGTATTTAATAATTAGCCAACTGCCACTTATAATTAGTGTAATTATCAGAGGGCCAAAGGCATGATAAAAAGAAGTTGGAGTGACATAAAGTTGGAAAGACTCTAGTTTTTCTCAAAACCAATCATCACTAGGATTCCATATGTCTATTGATTTGAAACCTAGGGGATTCAACACATATTTTGCCTTCTACTCATCGTTTGAATCTGTCCCTGGAGTTATTCGTTTCATGAGAAGTTTTTAGGGTCATCACGATGTCCTTCCAAATACGGAAATAGCTTTCAAATTTTGCGCAATTTATAGTAAGATAAGATGACACATTTGTGGAAGCTTTTACGGTTAAAAATATAGAAACATGTATTTTCCTCTGGGATGCGTTCTCAAGATGGCAGTGTTCTTGAAAAAAACCCAGAAATGCAAAAAGTTTCATCGGAAATATGATGATCATGCCATAATCATCATATTTCCGATCATATTTTACACACCATACACCGCAAGCATTTGAATCCCATAGTAGACTGAGAGGGTCTTTTTAGATAAGAGTTCGCCCTTGAGAGTGACATGAGTAAATTAAACAGACTCGAGAAAACCATCTCCTAATCAGCACAAATTTGAATAAATAAAGGATTGTAGATTGTAGATTGTAGATAGTTTATTCTGGTTAAAATCGCAGCCAAAAGCTGAATTAGATTAATCGTTACAATAGTAAAATCTAATAAAAGTATGAGAAAAGTATAAAAAAAATGTACACAGATTAACTACAATTACTATATATAAATGTATTCATGAGTCTCTTCGTCTTAGCCAGAGGAACATTAAATTTCCTCTTTCGTCTCAAGTTGAGTTCACAGTTGTTCTGAGGAGGCAGGAGCTTAAGGAGGTAAGTTTCTAAAGAAACTGTGGTGCTGCGTCGTTGGGAGAGTATAACAGGGTAATTTAGTATTATCAATTGAGGTGTTAATATTACCCTGTACAAAGTTGTATTAATGTATTATTTTTGCTAATGTTATAACGCATGAAAGATAATATAACTATAAATACTAATTAGTTTATTCAGCTCTTTTTTCTTATCAAAGTGGAATTCACGTTATAGCTGCATAAAACAACTTATTCATTAAAATTTCCTCTCTGTCGGTATATGACGGATCTTCCAAAGAAAGCTTTCAAAAGAGTTCTCCGCAAATTGCTAATTGATATCTTAGGAAAAGAGGATAACTATATTCAAATCTCCATGATTATTAAAAAAGTAGGTACATAAATACACTCGTTAAGTGTTTAAATGTCTGCTTTTCTTATTCTGTACTTGTGTTATCATTTAAGAGTCAGAGACTCCTTCTCTTTAGATATAGATAATTTGTGTTATTCATGTACTTGTCTTGGCAAGGGGCAAACTATCTCACTTTTCTTTTTTTGTACTAGCAAAGAATATAGAACAAATAAAAAACAAAGGCGGTTCAACTTTTTTGGCGAAGCAAAATAAGCGATCTGTCAGTTGGGATCTATACTTATAATATTGGATCAATTTTCTTAAAATGTTGGTTTTATTATAAAAGAAAAACTATTGAAAATGGCTATTATTTGACTCGCAAGGACAGCTAAAACTGTATTAAACCACCTTACCCTTTAAGCGCGCATGATTGCATGATTGATTCTATAGTAATTCATTTTGGTATTCAAAGGCAAATTTCAAATGTCTGAAGATCGCTAGGAAATAGCCTACTTGAGTCGTATCTAAAGGTGTCCTTTAGACAGCTTAAGATCACGCGATAAGAACGTCCGGGAATGAATAACCATCTGGTCGACATGTTCTTTGTTTGGGATGATATGATTGTTGTCGAAAGTTTTACTCAAAGTTTAATTTCAAAGCCATATGTTTTCTAATTAAAACATCCTCAAACTTCGTTTGGTGCTTTCAGTCGAAGCGACGGCTAACAACAAAATTTTTCAAGGCCGAAGAAACACTGAGTAATTCAGATCGTCGTAAACAGACCAGAGAAAAAAGGTGTCATTGAAATGTTCAAAGACGAGAAATTTTAGCGATCTTTTAAGGTTGTGCGTAAGATGCACCAAACACTTATTTCACGAATTTTGCATTCTCGGAGATAATTTGCATTTGTAGTGCAGAGCTCTATAGTGAAATACTGCTGGGATTCGGAGTAACACAGTAAACCAAATGCAAACCTCATCTAATGTAGTAGTATGTTTCGGGATGACTTGAAAACAATCAGCACTTTCATTATTCGAGCAATAAAACAATAGAGTCCATGTTCGCGCGCCTAAATATGTTTAAGCCCGATTCAGACTAATTTTTACCCTAAGACGACGCCTAACATATTTATGCCCAAGGACATAATATGGAATATTGTCAGAATTACTTAGGAGGGCATCGGGAAAATAAGAACTGAAGAAAAAATTGAAAACGAAGAAGTCTGAACAATCGCTCAAGTGTGCGAGCGGGCTAAAATACATTTTCTCCCGCTAAGATCTTCACTTCAGACTGGAATATGCGTTACCATGCCTTAAAAAGCAATGCTTATATAGTTGAATACAGTTTTGAAAGCGTGATACCTATTTTGATACCTAGTTTATAAAAGTATGCGATTATCTACCTAGAATAATAAGTTTGCAACGCAAAAGAAAAAAAAAACGCCTTTACTGAATGATTCACGACTTTTGTCTTCTGATCATATCATTCGTGTGAGAATTTTTGTAAAAAGACCGATTTCAAATCGAAAAAAACTTATGGAAGTCAAAGTGAACTAAGATTCAGGCAGAATTTCAACGAAAAATCAACACAGATGTAGAGAGTGAAGCATATTAAATGCAGTCAAGACGCCAACATAATATTATACAGTCTCGAATATGCAGCCTCTATAGAACACCAATTATAACTTAAGAACGCGTTATAACAGAGCACAAGGAATATTCATATGTAAAAAAGTAGCGCAATTTCTAAGTTGTTCTTAAATTCTTGACATGAATTGATGTCATAAAACTACCGCACCCAAAATCTTAAAAAAAAAAAAAAAAAAAAAAGCATCGCATGCGGCTAATGTCAAAGACCTGCCGGCGAAATGAATAAGGAACAATTAAATTTAGACCTGTCGAACTTTTCAAAACACTGAGTTGTATTTATGATGGAACATAAATTTAAGTTTCGTTATGAAAAACATCGAAACAAAATCAACTGGATTGTCTTTCTAAAGAAAACGCTCAAAGAAATAGTATTTAAAACTAAAAGAAGGATACAGTTACTGTATTCGCATTTTGCGGTCATCTTGGCGGAGCGAGCCGAAATGTTTACAGAGCTTAACGTCGACAAGTGCGTGTTTTGTTTTCAGCTTGCTCGAAAGTTCTCTTCTAGATCTAATATAAGATAATAATTAGAGTGAGATGCATTGAGGCTCAATAAGATCCCTTGTT